AAAAAATAATAGGTGGGACTTCATCAAAATTAAAATCTTCTGCTCTTTGAAAAACACTAAAAGAGTAAAAAAGACATCCACTGACTGGGACAAGATATTTGAAAATTATATATCTAATAAAAGACTTGCCTTTAAGGTATATGGAGAACTCTCAAAATTCAATAAACAAACAACCCAATTAAAAAAAAAAAAAAGGGAAGAAAACTGAATAGACACTTCACCAAAGAAGAAATCAGGATGGCAAATAGCACAAGAAAAGATGCTCAACATTATTAGCTATTAGGGAAATACAAATTAAAACCACAACAGGAAACCACTACAGACCAAGTAGAAGGTCTCAAATTAAAGACTAACTATAGTCTGTGTTGCCTAGGATGTGGAGAAACTAGAAATGCCAGATACTGCCAGCAGGAATGTAGAGTAGTCAACTGCTTTAAAAAACAGTCTGGCTGTTTCTTAAAATGTTGAACAAACACCTACTATATGACGCAGCCCTTTCACTTTTAGGTGTTTAATCAAGAAAGATGAAAGTGTGTGTCCATAGAAAGAAGGGTACGTGAATACCTACAGCATTTTCATTTGTAGCAACCAGAAATGGGAAATGACCATTCTATTCCTCAACAAGTGGGTGATTAAACCAACTATAGTCTATGTGTACAACGGAACACTAGTTGACAAAAAGATGCACTGTTGCATGTTACAATATGGATGAATGCCAAAATAATTATCCTGGGCAAAAGAAGCCATTCTCCCTACAGTATGGGTCCTTTTATAAAACATTCTAGAAATATAATCTGATCTATACTGAGAGCAGATCAGTGGTTGCTGGGGGTAGATGAGGGGTGGGGCAAAGGTGTGAAGTCATGATTTTATAAAAGTAACTTTTGGGGATGATGAGTATGTTCATTATGTTGACAGCAGTGATGGTTTCATGGATTTATCTGTGTATCAAAACATCAAATTTTAGACTTAAAATGTGTTGTATTTATTTATACCAATGCCAATTATCTCTCATTAAGGCTGTTAAAAACTTTTATGTCAAATATATGTCAAACATATATAAATATGTATTGTGTCTTACAAATCATTAAAGTAAGATAGGTTTCTACCAATCAATGAAAAAGGACCTGAACAGGCAACTCATAAATGAATGCAAACGATTAATAAACATTAAAACCAAGAATTTTTAAACATCGTAAATAAAAATTTTAAATGGCAGAATTTTCATATTGTATTTTATACTATTGTGTATTTACCAATTTAAATGGTAAATGTAAAAACTCTTGGTCATATATACTGTTGATGATATTTTAGGGAAGTGAGAATTCTCACATTGTGCTGTGCACATATAAATAGATAACGCTTTTTTGGAGGGCAATTTGAAAAGAGCAAAAACTAAAATATACAAAACTTTTGACATAATAATTCCACTTCTAGAAATTTATGCCAAGAGGTGTACACAAACATTTTAAGAATAAGAATATTCACCACATCTATGTTTTTATATTGGCAAACGATTGCAAGGAATCTAAAAGTTCAACATTAGAGTTGGTTGAATGTATGATACCTCCTACCAAAACAGCCCTCAAAATTAAAACTATAGAAGCATAGAGACATGGAAAGATAATTGCTATATACCAGTTAGTGAAAAAAGTTGCAAGCAGCATATAGAGTATGAGTTCTTTGTAGACAAAAGGTATGTATGATGTGTATATTAATGGCTGGAAAAAGATATTTGTACTCGTTTTATCTGGGCTAGGCAACTATAGACAATTTTTAGTTTTTTATTTTTGCTTCTATTTTTAATTGTTCTACAATGAAAATATATTGCTCTTCTAAGGGAAACTCCAATAAAAGTTATTTTTTTTTTGCAAAATACAAATGCTAATGCCCTATAAATGATACTGTGAGAAATATTAATTTTGAGTCTTAGCAACCAAAAAAATTTTTAACAGAAGGCTGCCAAAAGGTGTAGGTGCTACAGGGAGGCCTGAGATGCTGCTGCTCTAAAATTGGAGCCCCAGGACCTAGACCTGGACCACTAAAAGGGGTGGCATGGGCCTTGCCCTCCATACACAGCAGTTGGCACAGTTCAGGCCTCCCAGCACAAAGGACAGCTGTAAAATAAGGGCAAAGAAAATCAGCACCCGTCTTGCCTAGGACAATGAATCTGTTTAGGTTGGGTCCACTCTGCATGGCTGAGCCTCCACTGGGCATTTTCTAAGTCTGTGTCATACAACAAAGGGTGTGAGAGCAACAGAGACTCACTGGTCCCAAGTCTTCACTTACAGTTATGGAAAGTGAGTCCCACATAGGCCCATGCACATGTTGCTCAATCAACATTCCTTCTTGAAAGTTCCAGCAGTGGCTTGAAGTGAGGTCAATGCCAGAGTGTCTGTCAACTAAAATAGTCATTATTGGAATAGCCCACCCACTGGGAATCTCAACACTTGAGTCTTAACCAAGAAGAGTTAGCTCTGATCTATGGCTCTGAAAAACCTCACATCTCCCTTTTTTCCTTCTGCCATGAAAACATGAGAATCAAGGTCCATGAGTTATTGTCCGTATGCCACAGAATCACGAAGTTCTCTGAATCTGATGCAGACAACCGGTCTGATAGATGGTAGAAATACACATACAGGAATGTCACCGTTTACTGGATACAACGGGGTTGACAAATGACTTTCATCCTATATATCAACTGCCACCATGCTTGGTGGGAATGTTAAAATGAATTCCAAGGCAGCACCTGGGCTGATGAAAAAGAATGTCATGTTTGATTGGAAATGTGTAGGTTGTGGCAGGGGCAGTTAACAGTATCTTTGCCACATATTTCCATCCCGGTCTAGAACATCTGTTACTCTCAAAATAGGATTTCTTCCTTGAATTGCTCCCACTATTGGTTACTCTTACAGAATATCAGATTAAGTCTGTCAAATATTACTTTTACTATATCATTTTCCTACTTAAAGCCCTCTAAAGATCTGTCCTCATTTCCCACACAGTAAATCTATTTCCTTAGTCTAATAACAGTCTTTGACACTGTTTGCCATTCAGAGTTCTCAGCAGCGCTACACAGAATTGCCTCCCTGACCTATTTTTGTACCCAGAACACACACTCTGGTCTAAAAGGGCCACCAAGAGGAGCCAGGGATGGGAACTAGTCTAAATAAGAGCAATTCGACCAACAGATCTAGGCCCTGGTATGTTTCAAGTGACCTACTTTTCAGAGTCTTGATACCTGACGTCATTTCTTAATTCATCTCCACAATTCCATGTAGATCCCTCTTACTTCTATAGTGCTGGCACGACATCAACATTCGCTGCTAGAGTCCGTGTTGCCCAAGAAGTTACATTCAGGGCCTTTATGGTTACTGACTCACTGTCTCATTCAAATGGAGCAGTCTGGATGTGAACTAGGGTGTTAAGGTGTCTCTTAACTGTTAGATTTAAATACCAGTCTAAGGTAACAAAGCACTATAGACTAGCAAGGGAATGCAGCCGCATAAAGCACAATAAGTTCTTATTGCTAATGGCAACAATGAGACAAAATATTATTCCAGAATAAGGGAGAAAGAAAGTAAAACTATCATGGAAAAATATGAGCAGGTTAATTTTTCCAGCATGCTGACTGGCACCTGAGTGTCCCAAGGTTGTTGAAACTTGAAAATAAACAATTGCTGTGCACTCTGCTAGTGACTGGGCTATGATTAATAGTTATGACAATTTCGTATAGTGATGAGTCTAAAATAAAAAAAGTTTACTATGCTCACATTAATTTAGAATAAATTTGCCATTTATAAGCCAACAAAAAAGCAATTTGAAACTTCTATGAATTCTGATCAACACGATGTAGAAAAGCTCAATGCCACGCTTGTGTAACTTACAGGAAACAGGGCTACTTGTCATTGCCTCTGTGTCTTATTCTTAAGGTAAGATCAGAAATAAAAAAAATTGTAAGCTTTTGCCACGTGGTCATATGCTATGAGCATTCTTTGTTAATTTTAGATGATAATAAGAACCGAAGGTAATCTTCCTGTGTTGTCATCCTAGAGATATCAGTCCCTGTGGCCATGTTGATAAGCAATCACCAATATGATTAGGAACGTTTTGGCTTCCTGTTCCTTGCTTATCGGTGGGGATGAGAATAGAGAAACTTTCAACTTTGAGCCAAAGTCACCATTAGCATAGTCACCATTATCAACATTTGGGGCCACAAAAGAATTAGCATGAGGATGTCCCCCATTCTGTAGACCTGTTTTTTTTCCCCAGGCCTTTGATGGAAGATACTTCTTCTTTTCCACCGTGACCATCTCCAGAGGTCATGACTGGAGTGTAGAGGTTCCTGTGGCATCTCCATGTTTCTGGTGTGAAGGGCCCAGGGCAGGATGACTTTGCAATACTTCTCTGCTACCAGAGGGCACCAGCCGTATGGGCAATAACTTGGTGAAGCTTCCCAATGACAGGTGTCAGGGAAGTTGTACTCGGTAAAGTTTTTTAAACACTTGCTTTGGAGGAGCCCATCTGGGTTGGTTTTGGGCCCTACCTACAGACAGCTGGCCTAAACAGAATTGTCTAGCTTTTTCTTCTTGAAAGCTGATTATAGCTCTAGTTTAGTTGTGAGAGGGTCATGGGGGCATACTGAGGCATGGTTGGCAAGGGGAGAGGGGGGTGGAGGAGCTATTTTTACTGCTTTGCTATTTACTGTTGAGTGAGTCAATCTGACTGAGAGGATCTGGACTGTGGCATCAGCCCAAGAGGATTCAGAAAGGAGCCATGTTGGAATCTAGACAAGCTAGAGTCCAGACTAAGATCTGCACTCACCTCACATGGAAAGTCAGCCAAGTTTCCACTGGTGAGTCTGGATTCTGTAGGCAATTTAGTGATTTCCTGTTGGCTACCCCCTACTGCTGCCTCCCTCCCACCTGCAAGCAGTCACCCATCCATAAATCCTGTCCAGCCCTGGATTTCTGCCCAACGTTCCAGAGAATTGGACTCACCAAGGAGAGCAGAATTCCCAGGATCCAGGACCAGCTGTGCTCCCAGAGGAGATGTCAGCACTGAAGGAAGGTTCGGTCCAGTGGCTGAAAGCAAGGCCCTGATGTCTTCCAACTGTGTGGGGACTTGGGGGGGATCTGTGGGAAGGCAGATGGGGAGTCAGACAGGTTAAAGCGTGAAGGCTGTGTTCAGGGGAGAAGGAGAGGTGGGCATGCACCTATGTGTATCCACGTGTGAGGTGAGCATTACTGATTGCCTCCAGTGCCTATCAAGGTGAGTCTGAATTTCAAGCTTAATATTTGATGCCCAAAACAATAAGGTCAGTAATAAGAATCAGGTATGTTGATTTTTAGGAGTTCCTACTGTATACCACTTTATACCACAGTACCACTGGCTTCCTATAAATGTGTAGGCAAATTAAACAAAATTATAAAAACACTTTTAAAAAGCCAACACTTCTTCAGCATTTATTATATGCCAAGTCCTGTGTTAAATAGTTTTCGTTTCTTTTTTCATTCAACTCTTACGACATCCTTTAGAGCACTTTGTTACTGTCCCCACATATACAGACACATCACCACAGGAATTCCTTATTTAAAAGAAGCCTGTGGGTGACTATTCCCATGAAGAAAAAGGTTTATGAAGTTGACAAAGTTAATCTTCTTTGTGGTCTGGATTTTTATGCCCAGGTAAGGACCAGATAAGCAGAACAGGGATGATTTGTGCTTCAAAATCTTACAAGGGCTGAAGTCATCAGTGGTCACAGTTAACCAGAGACCAAAGTGATAAAAATGGGAAATATAGGGGCCTGCCTGTCACTTCCACTGGACAACTAAAAAGATGAGCACCTACTGAGTCTTGTGGTGAGATGACCCGAGATTCTCCAGGCAAAGCAGCAGAATCCTGTCTCCCCACTCCTTACATCTCCCAGGGCGGACCCCACCTTTGTCTCTAGAGCACCTGTTGGAATCTAAAGAGAAGCAGGAGTATTGCTCTCGCAAGTGATGGTCATTTCATCGGTGTTCAGTGAGGACCTATCATGTGCCTGTCATTTTTCAGATACTTCTAAGAGTGGCAAGTAAGTCACAGTGGCTCGGGAGTCTGCTTCAGAAATAAGCCTGTCTACTCTGCCTTGACTACAAAAGACCGTCACACGTAGAAAACAATGATGAGCTTGAGATTTTATTAAAATATATATATATAAAATAGTTTAAAAATGATAAAGTCTTCATACATATTGCATATAACTTAAAATACTATTTATATAGTATAGGGTGAAAACATCATGTTTGGGCTCAGGAGCCCTCTGTCATTCACTACCTTGGGCAAGTCACTTAATCCCTCTGAGCCCTACTTTCCTTGTCTATAAAATGATGAGGAATCTCATCATTTCCCAGGCCTAGTTTGAAATACTATGATTTTAGGAACTGATGGTGGCAGTTTACTCTAACCTAGACTCTCCTTTTCTCATCCTTTTTAATGCTCTCTTGAGAATACTGAAATTGAATACTGAGTATTCCTTCCAGAATATTAACTCAAGAAACCTTTGCTTATTTACTAAAAGCCAAAAATGGAGGTTACATCCCATCTTCAAAACCATCAGATCTTCTTGGGCCAAGTGTCAGCCCCTCCTAATGCCCTTACAGCTTTTATCTAATTTTTCTTCCTTGGTGCATGTCCATTCGATCTTTCTAGGGAAACTATAAATTCTCCAAGGGCAGAGGTCACCTCTTAAATTTATCCTATAGCTTGAGATGGAATTTAGAGGCCACATGTAATGAATGTTCATTCAATGGCTATAGGAATAAATGAATGAAAGTCTCATTACACTTCAAGTCTCCACACTACAGGTTAATCACAGGTATTGGCATGAAACCTCAGTTTTTAATATTTTTAAGTGTTTATTTTTGAGAGAGAGAGAGAGAGAGAGCGAGCAGAGGAGGGGCAGAGAGAGAAGGAGACACAGAATTGGAAGCAGGCTCCAGGCTCTGAGCTGTCAGCACAGAGCCCGATGTGAGGCTCGAACTCCCGAAATGCAAGATCATGACCTGAGCCCAAGTTGGAAGCTTAACTGATTGAGCCACCCAGGTACCCCTGAAACCTCAGTTTTATACATGAAGTCCCTTGTTTAAAAATTTTTGGCCGATTAAAATAATAAAAAAAGAGACATTATTTCTATGCTCATAAAGTACTTACAAAACTAAAAATACTTCGATTCATAAACCGAGGCTTCTGATCAAGAAAAGCCCTAAACTTAAGAGTCTAAATAGTGATTTTGTTCCCCGCCACGTTTGATTAAAACGGGAAGATGTTACGCTCGTCCAGCAACATGTTCGCAGCCACGCTGTTTTATGGTTGTGATGCTGCCAGAGCTGGCTCAAGGAACAAGCACACTTCACTGGCAGACCCACAGTAGCAGCTACACGTCCTAGGCTTTCATCCCTGTCAGCACAGGCGACAAGCAAGGCTTGTTAGGGAGGAAAAACCCACAGTGAAGCACCGTAGCTCAGCGTGGGGCAGGAGTCCCTGGGCCCCGGGCTCCAGCCTCGCACGCAGCTCAGCCGGATGAAACCCAATGCAGAACAAATGACACCCTTCACGGAGCTGATCTTCTGGGGCTTTCTCAGATGACTGGAGGTTTATGTAGCCACTGGTGAGATGAAAACCCACCTGGGCCTCTCTGAAATCTGAGTGGGCAGGGGCTCGAGCCCCGAAGCTTTGGTGTAGCATCAACTGGGGGTATGGAAATGCAAGTATAAAGTTTAATTATTTTTCCCCAAAGGAAGTCTATAATGTATGTGTATGTATGTATGGGGTGTGACTATTCATATTTCCCACAGTTTTCTCTTTCTTCTTAGAAGGGTAGCTGTCTCTTGAGGAAACTAGCATATTTGCTAGTTTTAAATTTGCTTGTTTTAAAAATAAAAAGTGCTCTCATATTTGCTTGTTTTTTTAAAAAAAAGGTAAGACAAAAATAAGCTTTTTTACTGCATCCCTCTAAGGTCCAGACCCGATGGGGAAGATAAGCCTAGGGTCCCCTGTCCAGGGGATAAAGGGGTTATTGCTTGCAACATGGCTGAGGCCAGCACTGGGCAACAGGGAATGTGGGACGATGTCCCAGTGGTTGTTATTTTTAAATACCCATGTTATGCCAAGAACTGTGTTAGACTTTTTAGCCAGGGGCTCTTCTGTTTTGGGGGGTGCTACAGTCTGAATGTTTGTGTCCCCTCAAATTCATATGTGAAGTCCTAACTCCCCAAGGTGATGGTATTAGGTGATGGGGCCTTTGGGAGGGGTGGGGTATGGCCCTCATGATTGGAATTGGTGTCCTTATAAGCGAGACCCCAGAGAGCTGGCTTGTCCCTTCTGCCATGGGAGAACACAGCAAGAAGCCAGCAGTTTGCAACCCAGAAAGGGGCTTCACCAGGACCTGACAGTCTTGGCATCCTGATCCCGGACTTCCAGCCTCTAGAAGTATGAGAAATAAATTTCCGTTGTTTATCAGCCACCCAGTTTGCAGGATTTTGTTTTAGCAGGTGGAAGGGGCTAAGACTGGGGCGGGGTGGGGGGAGCGGTGGTGGGGTACCTGTGTGGACTTTATGTGGGCTGGACTAGGAACCTTCCGAAATTATATGAAAAATGTTGCATGTATGAATTCTTCTGGAGGGGCTAATCTAGCACTTTCCTTTGATTCTCAAAGAAGTCCTGACCACGGAAGAAATTAAAAATAACTGCTTTGCTTCTGTAGCTCCAGCTGACAACCCCCTCCTCCTATGCGGGCAATCCTAATTGTACAGGTCTCCGTGTCAAGGCCAGCATTTAAAGCTTAGTAAGGCTAAGTGAGCCAGCCAAGGTCACACAGTGAGTAAGTGCCAGGGTTCAAACTGATGTCTGCCTGGCCCCCAAGTCTGTGTTCTTTCTACTGGAAGGCCCAAAGGTGGAGAGAAGGGAAGGGACATTGCTTTTAAGTACTTAATTGGATCAGGGGAAAAGGGGGGTGGAGGGTGGGTCAGACAGTCACCCCCATGGGGTCCAGCAGGGGCAGCCAACCTCGTGGTGTTTACCTAGGATCAGCAGCTGTGTGTTCTCCGTCAGCTCTCCGTGCACATTGGCTGCCCTGCAGGAGTAGAGGCCCTGATCTGAAGAGGACACGTCTGTGAGCAGCAAGGAGCCCTCGTGCAGATGGTGAGGGGAACCCAGTTTGCTTTTATTCCTGAACCAAGTGACTTCGGCTTCGGGCACACCTAGGAAGAAAAAAAACAATAAACTCTATCAGCTAAACACATTCAGGTGACCCCGGAGGCAGTTCTGGCGGTTCGGCGGGCCCTCCCAGGGGCTACTCTGCAGGAAGCAGCTGCCTGGGCGTCTTCTACCGTCCTTTGGCCAAACTAAATAATGCCTCTGACCTCTCCGTGGTCTCAAGATCTCTTGCCTTTTAAAACTCACACTGATGAGGCAGGAAGAGAGAGAGGCCAGTTAACAGAACAGGAAGCGGGTAGCTGGTAAAGGACGCTTGCCAGGGTGGAAGGAAAGTACCCAAATTCTTTGCAGAAAGCATCGATAAACCTAAGAACCAGAACTATACTTCGGTGAAAAGGAACGGTTGACAACTACATGAAACAAACATTAACAGTGAGTAAGCGAAGCTAGACCCAAAAGAGTACACACTGTATGATTTCATCTCTGGAAGTGAAAAACTAAAACTGATAACATCAATCTAAGTTGTTAGCCATCAGGGTGATGGTTCCTCAGAGAGGAAGGGATGAATGGGGAGGGGCTGGAAGTAGGGCCTGGTGGCTGGTAATTCTCTGTGTCTTGACCTGAGGGCTGGTTCTGTGGGCTTGGTACCTTTATGATAGGTACCCTTTTCTGTATAGGTTATTACACTTCAATAGAAAGTTAAAAGCTGCAAAATATTAGTATGTTCATGGACTAGACAAACGAAAGTGCCAGAACCTTACCAGAATTGACACCACACGTAGAAAACATGCCTCTATTTTT